TTATTTTTGATAAAAAAAAATCTAGGAAGTTAAAGTAACTGTGAGCTGTTATCGGTTCCCGATTTTTATTAGCATATCTAAATATCTTTAGTGTTCTATACCATATAAAAATAAGATGTCAAAGTATACAAACTCAAACTTATATCCAACAATTAATGTTTTAGTATTCTAACTTACTTATAAATAACTCAGATGTTTTATGGTCATCTTTAATTCAACATAATACAACTTTAAGATTTTAGATTACTGAAAAGAATTTTGAAATTATAACACAGTTATCATCTCCAATGTCCTCCTCAGTCACCTCAGGTCTTAAGTAGCCACGTGACATCCAAGATGGCTAGGAAGGGCAAAGCCTGTTAGTGTCCTCAATTTGCACACCAGGTGTACTGTTGAGAACAAAACACAAGATGCCTAGAGGATCCAACCCCTCCCGGAAAAGCCAGGAAGCAAAGCTGGAGAAGGGAAGAAGGGGCCCTATCCAGCTTGGCTGTATCTTGCAGCTGCTGGTCTAGGCACTGAGAACATGTTTCCAGGCCCCACCATGGCCACCTATCCAGACACCAGAATCTAGGGGCTCAAAACTAAAAATACGAGTTTGTCATTGAGAACGGAACAAGTAAAAAATATATATATATTTTTTCACATGCCTTAGCCCTTTATATACAAAAAGCCTTATGTGTCTTTCATAGGTGGAAGAAGACAGGAAATTAAAGGTTGAAAAGCAGAAAAATAGGTTTTGCGGGGAGAGAGAGAGAGAGAGAGGAGAAAAGTCTTGACTAGTTCGCAGAAGGTGGTCTTGTTAAGCATATGAAGGCTTATGGGTGACAGCCCTCAGAGAGAAGAGATGGCAAATGTTTCTTTTCAGACCTTTAAAAGTGGAGACTCTTACATTTTTTTCTTTAGATCAGGAAAAGGTAGTTCTGGCTGTATATGCATATTTTTTCTCATAAAAGACAGTTTTGTAGCAGTTATTTTAAAATATGTTAAAGAAATATACCTCAAGGCAAAACATTTTTAATCTCTTTAGTCTATTTTGAAGCTAAAAGTTCACATATTCAAAGCCAAACTGATAGTTTTGGAGAAATTTGGGTTAGAGGTTGTTAGAGATGGACAAAAGAGTGAGAGAGAAAGAAAGCAAATTGGGATAATAAGGGGAAAAAAACCCCACGAAATTTAAACATATCACCCCATATCTTCTTTAGTTAATTTCTTAGTTCTGTGAATAAATCAGTTTAGTTAGGTAGCTGTGTCCCATTCCAGGAGCTGATATCATAGAGGAGTTTTTAAACAGAAGAAAAAAACAAAGGTCAATATTTGGAGCAATTTTTTAAAAAAAACTAATTGAAAAGGAAAACAATTGTTTAGGAGCAGAGATGAAGGGAGAGGTAGGGAAAAAAAAAAGGAAATAGTTGACTCTAAATATTTCATATGTGCCATTTTTTTTTTTTTTGGAGTCTCTTTTAACTTTAAATCATTAAGGGAGGCTATGAGAGAATTTTGATCCCATTTGGAAAACTTGAAACACCAATTATAGCATTATCTTCATTGTTTTGGAAGATTTGATAGCCTCTTTGTTTTAATTAAGTACATAGATAAACTAGAGGTCTCCTAAGATTTTATTGTGCCCAGCAAAGCTTTAAATCATTTTAGGTTAGATTTCAAATATTTACAAGAATTTTTTTATAGTTTTTTAAGCACATTAATCACTAGTGTCTCTGATGGCATTGGATCAGAGATCATTTTCCTAGAACTGAAGTTTTGATAGCTGTGCTTTACCTTTACGAGAGCAACCTCACCAAGTGCTGAAACATGAGCATCCTCATAAACCCTTACGGACCAGCTGAATATAGCTAGGTCCCCACAAACCCAGGACCCACAAAACATTCCCTCTGGGGGCCAGAATGAAGGGAACCAGGAAAGCTGGGGTAGCCCCCACAACCCCAGGGCTAAGAAAGACATTCCCTCTGGGGTCTGGAATGGAGGGAACTGGAACTGGGGAGAAAAGGAGAAGAGGGGAGAGAAATAAAGTCTCCAAGCTCTTCATCCTCAAAGCAGGAGATCTTGGATCCAGGAGAACCTTACCTGAGTTTCTCCCAGCGAGGTAAGGGAGACAAATGAGCTATCAGTGAGCTCATGCAGACGTTGGTGTGTTGACCTCCAACCACACTGGGGAAAACTGGGGGTCCCCCTGGGTCCCTTTGTGGTTGCCACTTGTTAACCAAAAAAAATTAACAAGGTTTATATTTTGGAAAAAGGAGAGCTTTATTTCTCGTAAAGGTTGCAACCTGTCAGGTGGCCATTTCAACATGTTGGGAAGCAGAGCCCCAGCCAGAAGCCAGGCACATGTGCTTCAAAGAAGAGACAAAAGGGAATAAAATTTTATACTGAGCAGGGTAGTGAAACATACATATTCAACAAGCTATAGGAGTCATGAATATTTATGAAGGAAAATCATATGCATGTAATTGTGCTTTATCTCTCCTATCCTGTCATGGCTGGGAACTCAGTTTTAAGGTATTTCTGGGGCTCCCTTGGCTGAGAGAGGGATGTTCAGTTAGCAGAGGGCTTAAAGTTTCATTTTCAGTTCACAAAGGAATGTATAGCTATTGTATGTAAATGCCAAAGTCCATGGAAAGGCTTTAACCTGGTTCCTGGCAGGTAGCAAACACATACTCAACAATAGCTATTATTATGAGGTAAAGGGGTTACAAGCTCAGGGGCTGCTGTCACATTGCTTGGGCACCAATCCTGACATCACCTCTTTTCTTGAGCAAGCTGTTTATAACCTTTCTCTACTTCTGCTCCACATCTGCAAAACGAGAATACTCATAGCGCCTTCCTCATGGGGTTGTTGTCAGGATTAACTTAGATAAAGTATTAGTTCTTAGGAAAGTACTTAGTTCTTGGGACAAGTCACGTTAGGAAGAATCCTGTTGATTGTGTTCCCTGGATTGTAACGGTGATGTTGCTGGAAGCTGCACGCACTGCTGTCTGTTCCCACTCTGCACTCAGCGAGAAGCCAACATCGGCGCTTGGTTGATCCAAATACAGCAATGTGAACACAAAACAGTAAAACTCTTTGCCAGGCATTCAAGGCTCTTCACATTCCACCTCCATCTTCCCTCACAATTTTACCATTACCACCTTCTTACTAGATACTCTATGATCCAGTCAAACCAAATTGTCCACCTTTCTCCCAAATCCTGGGTGGTTTCACAGTTCCTTTCTTTGCCTCTGCATTTCCTTCTGCCCCCAACACATGGCAAAACTCTACTCCTTCAACAAGGCCCAACTCAAGTGGCTTCTCTTCAAGCCCTTCTCTGTGTGCCTCCAGGAAACATCAGTTATTCTCCCACAGGATTCCCACCATGCTTATTTTAAGTGATGGGAAGAATTATCATTATTTACCACTCTCCTCTCCCCAACCATCTGAAAGTAGAAATGGGTCCCCCAATGGAGTCCTTTCTTTTGCTAAATAGGGCGATAGGTGGGGATGCAAAGTTTATAAGCTGAAAAGGGGTTAAATTGTATTCCTTAAGGAAATAGAGAGGGGCTTGAAAGATAAGATGAGGGGAGGTTAAAATAGTGGGACAGAAGGGTGGAGAAGAAAAAGAAAGACAATCTGGGGCGGAGAAAGAGGTGAGGGCGACATGGCTACCATCAGGTTTGAATCTGGCTAAGAATCTGCAAACAGCAGAATTTTATTCTATAGGCAATGGACAGTCATAGATGAATCTCGATCAAGAAAGCAAGACAGTCAGATCTGTGTGGAAGACTCATTCTGGGGATAGGAACAGGATGGGTTGGAGAGAAGGAGAGTGGTTGTTTGAAGTGTGAGCAAGTGAAGTGTTTTTGGAAGTTGTATCTCAGCCTGGGCTGGCCTGGAGAGGACTCAGGGGATGGAGGCATGGGGACAGAGCCGTGGAGGAGGAGTCCCTTCTCAAACACAAGCAGGACTTTCAACAGATCTGGAGGAAGAAGAGGAGGAAGAGGGAGAGGAAGAGAAGCAGAGATCACCATTACACTTGCCCTAGTGAAAGCATCTAAGGTTCCCAAGGGAGAGTATAGAGAAGGTAGTCAGGGTAAGTGTTATTAAGTGGGTGACATTTCAGCAAAGATTTGAAATAAGTGAGAGAATCAGTCATTCAGATACCTGGGGGTAAAGGATTTCAGGCAGAAGGAATAATCTGTGCAAAGTTCCTGAGGCAGGAAGCATCTGGTGTATTAGAGGGACAGTGACAAGACCAGCACCTGGCACAGAGAAGGAAGAGGGATAGTGGCAGGGGCTGAGGCCACGGAGGTTAACCTGGCAGACTGCGTTGGGGCTTGCAGCCTGTTGTAAGGACTGGGGCTTTTATGCTACTTATAACAGATAATCATTTGACCAGAGAAAGGACACGGTCTGACTTATGTTTTAAGAGGAGCACCCTGGCTATTATGTAGAACCTGGGGGATGGGAGGTGGAGTGGGAGGAGGCAAGAATGTAAGCAAGGAGACCAAGTAAAAGATGATTACAGTACTCTGGACCTGGGTCCAAGCTCCGAATGACAGCAGTGGAAGCCATAACAAGGTGTTGGGTTCTGAATGTATTTTGAGGGTGAGGACAACAGATTAGCTGTAGGTGTGTGTGAAAGAAGAATAGGGGCGATGCCCATAGCTTTGACCTGAGCGTTTCTCTGGGCCGCACTGTGTAGAAGATGTGCGTGTGACTGTGGGTCACGTGTCTGTGGATGCTGCAGTGAGACTGTGCCACAGAAATACTTTTGACCCTCTCTATGACTCAGTTTCTTCTTCTGTAAAGTGGGGATTATAATAGTCGTGATCTCATAGGGGTGTTGATAGCACTGTATGAATTAATACAGTAAAATGCTAAGAACTGCTCTGGAAAACAGCAAATGATGTGGCGTAATCACTGATCCTATTCCTAACTCTATTTTGACAAGGGAGAAGCTCAGCTCGTCCTATCTGTACTGATTTTTACTTTGGGTACTGCCTAGGTGTTCTCTGATGGGGTTTGACCTGAATCGTCACTGGCTGGATCCCTCTCCATGGGCCCACCCCACCCTGCATGGGGTGAAACAGCTCATCATCCAGATGTACAATGACCCAGTAAGTACTTGGACGCCCTCCGCTGCTGGCCTATGGCTTGATCTGGGAAAGGGAATTGTTGTACTGGGAAAGTCCACTAGGAGCTGCAAATTAGTGATACATGGTCAAAACCAGGGAGGCACTAGGCCTGCTTGTCCCTGGCCTGATAGACCCAAGTACCTTCTCCCAATCCCTTCTCCTTTCCCCACCCTTCACAAACATTGGGTTCAGTTGTGGAGGTCTCATGGGATGAAGGAAATATATTGGAGCATATCCATATTTGTCAGGCCTCTCCGGTTACAAGTTAAAGAAATACAACTTGAACTGACGTAAGCAAAATAGAGCATTTGTTAGAGGAGTATTGGGGGTATGTCATATAACTGAGGACTGTAGACTGGCTGCCTCCACGTGTTGGGAACATGACCGCCATATGTCACATCCAGAGGCTCTCACCACTACAATGACTTACCCTCACTCTCTAGCTCTAATTCCAAAAGGATTGTGATTGGCCTAGTTTGGAGGACATGTCCACCTCTCAGGAAGTCAACTCTGGCCCAAGAGGAAAGGATATGTGAGGATAGGGCAGCCTCACTGGAACTGCATGGTTGGAGTTAGGGGGTGGGGTGGTAGATGTTCCTAGAGAAGAGGGCTTGCTATTTCAGAAGGAAGAGGGGGAAATAGACAGACAGAACAACAGGTGTCCACACCAAGTTTGCTCACAGGGACAGGTTCTTATCTGTAAGAAATAGGAGAAGACAGGGGGGTTTCATAGCTTAGAGAAACAAGGCCAACCATGATCATTCTATCTCTGAAAAGCTATCAGAGAAAGGGCAGGACAGACCTTTATTTGGGTGGGTGACATGGGAAGAGGTAGGGCCTATAGAGAAATAGAACTCTTTAAAACTTAGAGCTGCCTGAGGATGAGGGGGTGTGTGAGCTATGAGCTTTGCCTTACTAAAAGTGTTCAACTTTTAGTCAAAAATGGTGCAGAGAGAAAACTCAATTGTTTGAAAGAAATTCTAGTGAAACCACACCTGAGTCCCTTCCAACTCTGAAGACTGATTTTATGACCCGTTGACTGCTGTCAGGTGACAGATGGTGACTGCTAAGACAGCCAAAGGTCACAGAGTCGGGGTGCTTCAGAGATGCACCAGTGTAACTCATTCTCCTTTCCCTCATTGAAGATGCCAATAAAAATACCCTGAATTAAACAGTAACATATATATCAATCAGACAGAAATGTGTGCTTAAAAACAAATGCATATATTAGAGTGAGGATTAATGAAAAAGTAAATCCTTGGGTACAATGTAGTGATCTTGGTTGTGAAACTTGTGAAATCAACTGTCATCTCGATCCTCCTATGTGACTCTTGCTTTCCTAGGCCCTTTCCTAGTCCACCTTCTGTGTCAGGGCTTGCAAAGCCATAGCTTTAGGATATTTGCCTCCTTCTCCAGATCATCCTTCTTTGTAACTGTGCTCACCAAATCCCTTTACTACCCTGAACTCTCAGTGCCATCGTGATCAGCTTTCCCTGCAGAGAGAAGCTGCTTCTGATGTTCTAGGTAAGTATCTGTAGTCCACTGAGTTCTGCCCTCCCAGGCTTCTGTGTTGACTACAATTTCCCTGATAGAATCACAATGCCTTCTTCTGATACCTCCTCAAAAAGAGCAAGCTCCTACACTTTTTCTGATCTGATTAACAATAGATATTCAGTAACTGTTGAGTGGATTTGGATTGAACATGGAAAATCCCATTGTGCCAAATATAATATGGTTTACAGATACAAAACAGTAATTCTCAGAGAGAACAATGGGCCGTGGTAAAAGAACAGACACTGGACCAGGAGGAGTGACGGAATGGGAGCTGTTGAACAAAGTAGTGTTTTAGATGAATCCCCAAAGAGAGAACGGGATGGTGATGGGGCGGGGTGGATTGGCGAGAAACAAAAGGGAAGGGGGTCAGGATCCCAAAGAGGAAGAGGCTTCACCTGCCATTGCCATCATCAAGTAGAAGTTATTGATTTACTCACAAAGAGCTGGGCACTCGTTCATGCTGCAAAACACAGATCAGGCAAGACTGAGTTACAGAGATATTAGGAAATTATTGTGCCATGAATAGATTGATCATCAGCTGATCGGATCTTAACAAGTACACCTTGGGTGCTGAACTAGTTGTGAAAGCCATTTTCTTCCTGAACATCCAGTCCTTTGTTGCCCCAAGCAAGGGCTTAGGGCACTAACATAGGAGTCATGCTCACCTGGAATAGGATCCCAGCTCCCTCCTTCTCTTCCTCTCTTCCCCACTTTTCTTGTCCAATCTCTTACTCCATTTTTTCCTTCCTTTTTTCCCCACAAATATTAATATTTATTTATATACCTGTTTTATGTCTACCGGGCACTGCAGTTCTAATAGTAAACAAAACCCTAACCCTTGCAATATAGTGGGAAAATGGGCTTTAAACAAGTAAATACTGATAAATATAGATTATAAAATATGTCAAGGGTTATCAGAAACAAAAGCATAAAGTGTGACTTACAGGTAGAGCGGTCATAAGTCTTGGCTTTCCTGGGGCAGTTCTGGTTTACACCTGTTGTCGTGAACTATTTTCTAACAGTGCCCCCTTTCACTCTTAAAAGTGTCCTGGTTTGGATGATAAATTAAATGATCTCTCTAGTTAAAAGTGGTGTGATAGCACCTAGCACAGTACTGGTGTGTAGCAGACCCTCAACAAATGTTATCTGGATCTGATTCGGATTCGCATTTGACTTCAGGCATCATTGTGCCCGGTTGCAAACACTGCAGTGCCCTGAGGCATCTGCCCTAATAGCTTTAAATGCGTTTCTACTCTCGACCTTTAGTATCATATACATAACCCTAATCACTCAACTCCAGGCTATCTGAACTGCCAGGACAACTTCCAGACTTGTTTCTAAATGTTCACAGCTTCACTCCTTCAGAGGTTCAGCAAGACCCTCCACCATCTGAGCGTGGTTCCTCACTGAACTCCTTCAGGCCCTGTGCTGGGTGCCAGTGCCCGCCCCTAAGGAGTTCACAGCCCGGTGGAAACAGGCATTTGTGGACAGTAATTCTTTTATATAGGTAGGCACAGGGGGTGGGAGTCCGACCCAGGAGGAAACATCTGAGCTGATACATGGGGGATACTTGGGTCAGGGGAGAATTCAGGCAGAGGAAACAGCACATGTGTGTGCCTCAAGAGGGAGGCACACTCAGCAGACTGAAAGTCGTCCAGTGTGGCTGGTGCTGGGGCAGACAGAAGGGCGAGGGGGGAGTTATGAGACAGGGAGCAATCTGGACTTGATTTTCATGGAAATCGGGAGCCACTGAAGGATTATAGGCAGGAAAGTGACAGAATCGGGTTTGTATTTCAGAAAGCTCCCTCTGGTGCCTGGTAGGAGAATGGATTTGGAGGGTGCCAGGCTAGAGGATGGGAGACAATTAGAGTCTACTACTACAGGGTTCAAAAGGAGGAGGAGGAATCTAAAGATACTAAGAAGCGAGACACGAGGGACTTGGTGACCATGGCCAGTGGGAGAAATAGTCCTGCATGCTGCCCATGGTGTTGACTTGGGCAGCAGAGTGGACGTGGCACCCTTCCTGAGATGGGAAACCAGGACACACAGTAAGTGTGGGGTCAAGTGATGCATCCAAATTTAGACATGCTCAGTTTGCAGTTGAGAAGTGATATTTCCAACCTGCAATGGAAGGCTCCAGGAACGAGCCCTCTGTGTGCTTCTAACCTGGCAACAAGAGCCTGCTGTCCTTGTGTTAGTAATGGCATTGACTTCAAAGCTCACAAACCCTAACTCCTCTGGGGGACATTGGATGTTAAGTGATAATCTTGAAAAAGAAGTGCTTAACTCAGAGGACTACACTGGATCTGAGACATAAAGGGTTTCATGTTTCACTCCTGTGATAGCGCCCAGTGAATGGGGGCCTTTGTTTACCAGTTGTGGTTGATCGTTTCCTGGGGGGAGGGTCTGGCTGATTCACCTTAGGGTCCCTAGTACCAGACACGGAGCTCAGTGTAAGCGTTAAGCAAATGATGAAGCAGACCTAGAGCCTCTGTGACTTGGTTTTAGAAGGCTTTCCTGATGAAAGGAGCAATGAAACACAGACCCCTCCCCAATCTCATCTCTCCCTCAGAGTGTCCCCTGATTTCACTCCCCCCATCACTGTGCCCTCCTTTAATGAAGGCTCTGGTTTGGTGACACAAACCCTCTCCTGGGTTCCCCTGCAACCCACTGAGATTTTCCAAAACTCCCAGGGATAGAACCTGAGATGGCATCACTTACTGTCATTCCCATGACACAGTTTTCTGATCATCTTCATCACCTTGTTCCATCCCTCGACTCAGTGCCTCCCCATTTACCCACCATTGAAATGAGCTCTCTCTGGCCACCAAGGGCTCACCCAGATCCCAGATCCCTTGTCTTCCCAGTCCTTCGCCCGTCCCCACCATCCATCCACTTCTTGTTCAGGAGCTGTGCTTAGACATTTCAGTGTCTTTAGTGGTGGTAAAGACCAGGGCAGTCAGTTCCAACTCTGCTCTACATCGAACTCTCTCCTTCTTATTCTGATTTTAGGACAGAGCTCTACCTCTTCCCTAGATAATTAGCACCAGAAATGGCATCACCTTTCAAGTGAGAGCTCACCCCCTACCCATAGAAGATGACAGTAACTTCACATGACACAATCAGCCACACAACCAGAGTCACTCATGCGCAAGGCCACAGACAGGGTTCTCCTCTCACACTCATTTAAAAAGCTGTGATCTTAAAAAGCTAAGCCCATTTGTGGATGGGCTTCCCAGGACCATCCATCTGCAACTTTATAGCATCTAACTATATACTTGTAGGCACACCCAGAGAAGTGTTGAGTATAAGCTAAGTAAAAAGGCAGCATTTGCTTTAAAATCCTCGGTTAATTGAATGCAACGTGCATTTCTCAGTGTTGCCATGTGCAAGACCCTTGGGTAACCTCTAGGGTTACGGAGATTAAT